CTACATTTGGTGAGGAGGAAAACACATTCCAGATAACCTTGCCACTCTCACATATGTACACAGACATCGAAAGAAAAAGCAGAAAGGGTTTTTTCTTTCTGTTTGTTTGTTCCAAAATTTATATTCTATCCACTTAATAGAAAAATTTGTTTTCCAAGGACCACTTAGTGGGAGGAATATAAAGAATAAACAAAATAAGTAAACAAATAAATTACAAATATAATGGTAGTAATTTTGGAGAAAAATAAATTTCTCTGATTCAAATGCCAGGCAGAAGAGATTAGATTTTATAAACACAACAAGTTTGCCAGAGAATCCTATGAGAGGAGCAGTGCCTTATAGAAAGGACTCTGGAAGCAGTGCACAGGGTATATAAAAAAGCAAAGAGAACAGAGACAAGTGATGAGGGTACTTTAAATTTGGTCAGATGATAATGCTGCTGCCATATCTCAAAGGCAGTGTGAGTACTGAAGGTGGGATGAATCCAACAGACAATTCAAAGGAAAGTCTGAGATTTAGTAACTTACCAGATATAGGAAACAAAGAAGAGAAGATAAAGAGGTCTTTAGTGTTTTATACCTAGGGACCAAGAGAATGGTAGCATCAATGTCACTTATGAAGACATTATTAATAATACAACAATCAAAGAATTGCTTATTTTCACTGAAATCTGAACCAGCTGAATCTTGGTTGATGTCTGATGGTCAAAGCTCAGGATTTCCTCGAAACTCTGCAGTGTTTTTTAGCATTTCTGCATTGTTTATGTACATGCTTGGAAAAATGCTCACCAGTTTGCCACCAATGGTCTAGGACAGGTACTCTGAAGACCTTTTTGGACCATTCCAGGGTCTCCACATCACATCGTTCTCCAGCCACAAATAATGTTTTGAATCTGAATAAAAGAGAGACAGTAAATTCAAATTATTGCTTGAGAATAAATGTAAATAATTTCATCTTCATTTTTAAACCTTGTTGAATCTAACCATATCAATCATGTCAGAGGAAAACAGCCATGTTACCAGTATATCATACTGTAGAATGATGAGAGGTATTACTTGTTTTGGCTCAAATATAACCAAATATACTTAACAGCATTTGAATTAGTTGCCTCAGAAATAGAATTCACTGCTACAGCTTCTCGGTTTTGAAAAGAACAATTGAGTTGATATTTGAAATATACTTGTCACATTTGTCTAATAATCAAAGATAAAAAATATTTTTCCCCTTGATATTATCCATGCTAATTTTAGCTCCAAGTTTGATTGCTGTATTCTACCGAAGGATATACACAAAAATACACTCACTAAGTGTATCAGCTAAGGCAGCAAATAAGCCCATTATCCAAAGTGGGGCACCACAAGAGCAGAAGAA